ACTCCAAGACAGGACTGCTTTGCAAGCGGGGCACCCCTGAGAACTGTCTGTCCGGGGTGGGAGTCGGGTCCCTTTAAGCACAGCCTTCGGCTAGCCTGAGGCAGCAGCTCCACGCTCTAAGTCCTCATCTGATGCCCTGCCGGCACTGTTTCCGGCCATCCTTAACCCCGGTTCAGGGTCCACTTAATGTGGACATGCTAGTTTGAATTATCAAAACGCTAATTCGAACTAGTTTTTTAGTCTGGATCCATTAGTTCGAATTAGCTTAGGTCAAATTAACTAATTCGAACTAAGTTAGTTTGAATTAGCGCTGTAGTGTAGACATACCTTTGGAGACCACTGAACTACAAAGATAATTTTCCCTGCATTTGATATTTGCCTGTACACGTCAAAAGCCATGAATGGGACACATCCAGCCTGACTCAATTAGCATTAGAAAACATTAACAATAGTCCTGCAATTGACAATTAACAGCTTTTGCTGTTATACATATTCTGGATTCTGTAATTTCCACTGCAACTCATCTGATAAAGTGGGTTTTACTCATGAAAGCTCATGATGTATGTATGAGGGCATTGCCTACAAGTTCAGTACTCAATTTCTAGTATGGTTCCATTCGGCTACTAGAGGGTTTGGCTTAGAATCCACATCTGAAATGAAGCCATTTTTGTTTTGTTTAAACAGAAATGTATTTTGACAAACTCTTTTCAAAACATCTTAACCTAGATTCAGTGCTTTACAGTGGTAATATTCAGCTGTCAGGAGCTTACTTATGTTATGATGGTGGTTTTGTCTGTTAATTAGAATATAATATTAAGAAATGTTTTCTAAAATATTCTATGTGAATTTCATTGGCATCTTTGGTCTGTTTGGAAGTTTCCTTTTAATATCTTACCCTCAGCCTGCATGATATTCCTTTGATGGAACCTTGAATTAGATGAAAGACAGAGTCTCATTTCTTTCTGTGATGTGCAGCTATGGATTTGCTTGTGGTTTTTACTGTGAGATACTATGTTTCATTATGGCATTGGTCCAGGGTCAAGCTATACCTAGAATTTTTTTAAAAGTTGTCTGAATAATTTAAAAACTAGCAACATGCAAGAAAAGACAGCAAATCTTATTTTCTAAGGGTGCATCTGCACAGTACCCAAAACTCAAAATAAGATACGCAATTTGAACTACACAAATTACGTAGCTTATTTTGAGTCTATATTGAAATAGATTATTTTTTGTTTTGGCGCTGTCTACACAGCACCAAATTTCAAAATAAAGTGCTATTTTGAGCTATCTCTTACTTCTTGTAGAATGAAGTTTACAGGGATGCCGAAATAGCACATTCGCTATATTTTGAAATAGCAGATGCATTCAAAAGACACAGAGTAGTTATTTCGGGATTCCACTGGTATCCCAAAATAACCTTGCTGTGTAGACATACCCTCAAAGTATAAGCTGATTGAGTATTAGTCTTTGTCACATTGTACCTTACCTCATGGTCTAGCTATCTGATGTGACAAGGCAAATCCTCCTTCCTTACCCGAAGAGCACAATAGTGTCACAAAAAGGAAGGGCCAAGATTTACCGACAGAGGGATGCAAATTAAGCACTTTGGAAGTGCAAATAAGCCCGGGATTTAAATATCCCAGGCTTCATTTGCATACTCACATTCGGGCACTGTGCTGATCACGCGACTTTTGAAAGTGAAAGTTAAGTGTAGCTGCAGCTCTGCCTACAGCGGGGAGCTTTTTCAGCAGATCCTGTACTCTTCATTTTTTGAGGAGTACAGGATTTGCCGAAAAACCTCCCCACTGTAGGCAGAACTCTAGAAAGGGCACGTGATCGACAGAGAATCGGCACAGCGCCCACACGTGAGTATGCAAATGAAGCCCAGGATATTTAAATCTTGGGCTCATTTGCACTTCCGAAGTGCTTGATTTGCATCCCTCTATCGGCAGAGGGATGCAGTCTAGATACAGCCTAAGAGGGAATTTGGATGTAGGAGGATGTGGAGAAGGGGATGGTGGCTTGGGGAGGGGACTCCAGGTTGGGGAGTGTTGGGGTCAGGTGGAGGGTTGAGGTGCTGAGCAAGCCGCAGGCTTGTGGATGTGAAGGGGCAGGAGTTTGGGTTGGGGTGTGGCTGGGAGTATGATGGGCTCAGGACAGATTTGCAGTGTGTGGATGGTACAGGACGGTTATGATAGAAGACTGGGAATGTGAGGGTGCAGGAGTTTGGGGATGTGAGAGGCTCAGGACAGGGGGTTCCAGTGTATGATAGGCTCAGATTTGGGGTTGGGGGGTACAGGAGTATTATGATGTTGCAGCTAGACGGGGGCTTGGCCCAATTGGGGGCTTGTCAGCCAGGTTTCATTTTAAAATAAAATATGTCAAAAACAAAAAGTTTCATCATTCTCTTTATTTATGAAAGGGGCGGGGAACCTGTTTTGAGTCAGGGATCACTGACCCACAGAAAAGTCAGTCAGGACCACACAAGTGAGATGCCAAAAAACAACCCCTCCAAAAAACCCCAAGCCTCACTAATGTGGCCCCAACTGTGCTGGTGGGGGCAGGAGACAGGGTGCTGGGGCAGTGTGCTGGTGGGTTCTGGGGTGGGTGGCAGGGTGCTGGGGCAGGGGACAGGGTGCTGGTGGGGGCAGGGGACAGTGTGCTGGGGCAGGGGACAAGGTGCCAATGGG